GAGAGAGAGGGAGAGAAAGAGAGAGAGAGTGGTAGAGAAGAGAGATTCGGAGAAAGAGCGAAAGTCTGCGCAAGAAACTTAGAGAGAGAACGAGAGATCGAGAGCGAGAAAGAGAAAGAGGGCGAGAGATAGGGAGAGGGAGGAGAGAGATAGCGCGCGGGAGGAGGGAAGAGAGAAAGATAGAGAAGGTGATGACGACTAATATTTCGAATGTTTACGGCAGCTGTCCTAGCACTCGCGGGGTTCACCTGTTTTTTTTCTAGCGCTTCTCCGTATTCCTATTGATCTACTCTCCCGGTCGTTTACCCGCCCTCTCATCTTTCTCTCTCTCTCTCTCTCTCTCTCTCTCTTATTCTCTTTCTCTTTCTTACCTTGACCCAGGTGTTGGATTATATAGCACTATCCATTACACTAGCCTATCCATTAGATGTGTGTTGCTTCTAAGAACTCCGCCGCCCACACACGAGTTTCGTCTTTCTAGTATTGCATGGCTCGCATCCGTGCGATCACATCTCGTGCGACGTCGCTTTCTCTGCACGCCCCATGCCAGTTTCTGTTACGCGGCGATCACGTGACCAACATCAGACTGACGTGTAGTGTTTTATCTTCTCGGTGCGCCAAAATCCGCTCCCTAGTGACCCCGCGGGTCCGCGACTCAAATTAAGTAACTATATGCTCCATTTACCTAGATCAATCATTCCACGCCAAAGGACGAGCGCTTCCTGTTATTCGACCGGCCGGGGAAGAGCTTCGAGAGCAGTTTGTATTGAGCAGAGAAGCGTCGTTCGTTTGGATAATGGCGGTGTTGTATGGACGGAAGTGCCACGAGCGACGAAGCTTATTGGTCAATATGCAGAAGCAACATATCTCAATGTACGAAAGACTATGACTACGTATTCAGCAGTATGAACATGCTCTTTGGAAAGATGTACTAGTGGATTCGATCCTGCAGTTATGTGATCCGTTTAATTAATTAGCTGGGTGCTGTGATGCGCGGAGCCTTGATATTGCTGGGAAATCTGCATCACGCACTCTAAATGTAGTTAATACGTATACTTGACAGGTGATACGATATAATAAATGTAGTTAATACCAATTTGACAGGTGATGCGACATTCTAGATATAGATGATACCAAGAGCGTATTAAAAAGGTTATTACGCTTCTTAATACGCTCTTGATGATACGCATTTGGCAGCAGGTAGTACCGTTCTCTAATGACTGCCAGGGTAATCTAATTATGTGTGTAGCAACAAATCAGAAGCGTCACCGGTCACGTCGCCATGAAGACATGCAGATTGCGTCAAATATTTCCATTTATGACATGTGTGTGTGTGTGTGTGTGTGTGTGTGTGTGTGTGTGTGTGTGTGTGTGTGTGTGTGTTGTGTGTGTG